CTCAAGCTGCTAGCCGAGACGCCTTCCGCTGGGGTTTAGGGTTTAGGGTTTAAGGTTTAGGCCTAAGTGTAATTTTACTCGCCCCACCTGGTCATGGCGTTTCATCATCTGAGCAAGCTGGTCTCGCAGACCTGTCAGCAGTCTGCTTCGAGTCTCATGGCTATGGCCCCCCTTAAGTGGATAGAATATGGCTTTGGGTATATTATAATAAGATCCCCTTATACCCCATATTCTATCTACTTAAGGGGGACTATAGTTCGTAGCCGAGAAATATGATAATGAAATTAGAACCTGAGCTGGGCAAATTGCATTCCCTCTGCATAGACTTGCACCCAAGACATTAGTTTTCCAGGAAACTCGCGTTGCATTCACGGCTTCGCCTTCACAAATTATGCTCCTTTGAGCCATAGTCTAACCTCCTAGCATCTCCCTTACCAGCCCCTATAATACTCCCCTATATAATCCCTTATATAAAGTCCTGTAACCCTACACCCTATATAACCCCCTTTCAGGAATTTAGACCCTAGCTCATTTGAAGGCTACGTCCTCGAGGCTTGAGTTTCTCTAGGCGGAAGGTCCTCTGGCCAGGGGGGCCAACAAGGGTGTTGAGGGTTTAGGGCTTAGGGTTTAGGGGTATATTCTTGGGGTTATATAGGGATAATGGAAAAGAAAATGGAAACTACTATTTAGGGTTTAGGGTATAGGGTCTATAGCTCCAGTGTGACACAATTGACGAACCCACCTGGTAACCCCAAGCGGATAACATGGCTCACATACGGACTATGCACATCGCGGCACCCCTGTGGAATGTAATTTCTGTCTAACCCTCTTTGCATTCACCCTTGGCCCGACCCTCTCTGTTAGGTTGTTGCTCCGGCATCGGCGGGAGATGGCAGGAGCCCTCAACCGCTAACACTTGCTTACATTCTTGCAAAAAACTTGCACAGCACCTGGCAAATGCACAAATGCGATCCCTACTAGCCCTACAGCGCGCCCAATTTTACTTGATCTTACCCAACTGTATGCCTTAATTAGCTTCCTAACCTACTTCTGAGGTGTTGCCTGGCTTGCAGGTACACTGGACGCAAGCCTTCTTCCGTAGCTCTTCGCGATGACCCAGCATCAGAGACCTGCTGGCTGAATGCGCATGTGTTAACTGCGAGGGGGAGTCAAATGCGAGGGGGAGTCTCCCTTCTGCGCTTTCTTTATGAGGAATCCGCATGTATTAGGCTATGCCTTTTGGTCCTAAACCCTAAATCCTAAACCCTAAATCCATTTTCGGCAACTATATACTATAATATACCCTAATAATATATGATAAAATACCCTAATGTACCCTAAACTCCAGGAAAACCCTTGGTGAAGCGCATGCCCCAGCCTCCTGGCCAAGCCGCTGGAGCTCGTTCGTCAGAGCCTGTCCAAGTCCAAGGGTGAAAGAACTTAGGCGCAGAAAGCCATCTGAGCTATAGTCTAAACTCCTTACAGGGGTTATATAGGGGATTATAGATGGGACTATTATAGGGGTTGGGGTCAAAGTACCTACCAGTACTTGCCAAATGACTTGAAGTTTGGTTTTCTGCACTTAAGGGACCTTCGATTTACGTCTGGGGCTGAGAATGTTACATATACTACAATAAGGTTATCTTGGGGTTATATAGGGATAATGGAAACTACTATATTCTGACAGGGTTATAT